AGCATAGATTTCATTTGTGATTTATAGACTTGTCAAACAACAAAATAATTTACAAATTTGGGTGGAGTACCAGCTTTGATTTTGCAGACATGCGTAATTACATTTAATTTGCATTTAAATGTAAGAAAAATACAAATAACCCCTGGTCTCATACTTTTACTGTTGCATGTACTCACTAGTGTTACTATTTTTCTCCAATTGTAGGCTATGTTACCATGCCATTTTCCCCTGAATAACATTGTCCCCAAAAGTTCAGATCAGACACACTGGGTAACCTGCATGTTAAAATGGTGAACATAAATGGATTAACACAAGGAGTCACAGACTGTCTGCAGATCCTCGTAGAATCACTGGTGTCGCAAACTGCTGATGGAGCTACAGTTACTCGACCTTGTCAGCACAGTGTTCAGGAGAACAGCCAGAACAGGACAATCACTGGTCAACTGCCTAATGCATTTCGTGGTACCTTTCATAAGTCAGCAAAAGACGTCCACAAAATGACTTTCTTTAATTAAAAAAATGATTCTTTAATTCACAAAATGTATTTCGTACACTATATGACTTTTTCATTCACAAAATGCATTTTGTCAATAAAATGACCGTCTTTAATTCACAAAATGATTGTATGTCATTCATGAAATGCATTTCATCCACAAAATGACGTTCATTCATGAAATGCATTTCATCCACAAAATGACGTTCATTCATGAAATGCATTTCATCCACAAAATGACTTTCTGTCATTAATGGAAGGCATTTCGACCACAAAATGACTTTCTTTTATCCATAGAATGCAAAGTGTTGATATCAATTTGTACAGAAAATGAAACATTCATTTTGATTTCTGTGCACGAAAGTGAAGTCTTTTTTGCTTTGTGGACAGAATACAGCAAAGGATTACTTAATTTCTTCACTAAATAATGTTTTTGTGGCACAGAATGTAGAGCACCCTCCACAATTATTGGCATCCCTTGTAAAGATTTGTCAAAAGAGTTTAAAAAAATTTACCTTTTAGTGAAGTAGCTTCATCTCACACTGAAAAAATTCCAACCTTTCACTGAAATAAATTCCCTAACTCATTCATTAACATGGGAAACATAACAGAACATAAAAATCAAATGAGGGAGAAGTTTGTTGACCTTCGTAAGTCAGGAATGGGTATTAAAATTGCTCCTCACCTGAAAATTCCCATTTCTACTATTATGGCAATAATAAAATAGTGGACAACCAACCTGCCTGGAAGAGGACCCAAGTTTAGTTTTCCTCCACGTACAGTGAGGAGGATCGTAACAAAGGCAAAAAAAATCCCCAAGAATCACTGTTGGTGAATTACAAGACCAAGTAAAATCTTGGGGTTACAAGGTCTTCAAAAAAAAACCATTAGACGCCACCTTCATGCTAACAGATTATTTGGAAGGTAAACATGTTCAGTTAGGTACACTGGATTCTCTAAATTGCCCTCAATATGTGCTTTATAATGGAGTAGCATCCTGTCCAGGGAAGCCCCTTTGTGACCTGTGTTTTCTGGACTAGGCTTCAGGCTCCCTGTTACCCTTTACTGGATAAACAATAGTTGATTATACAGTAGAAGCAGAAGGAATCCAGAGAAGTTCCAGTATGTGTTGAATGTTTAAGTTGTCCCAAAATCCAATATATTAATGCCTGAATTATGAAACAAAACATTGGTTATTTTAATCTGTCAGACTATTTTTTTCAAAGTGTCACTACAGTCTGCTGCTTTCAGACTGGTAGTTCAAAGATGCCTGTGTCAAAGATTTAGCAGTTAGAAGAGTTATTTTTCAGATCAAAACCTTTAGACTGCTTCTGCAGAAGACTACACATACATTCTACCCTGTTGTACTTTGAAGTTTTTAGCTGTTTAGATAGTTGGAAGCCTCACAAGAATAGGATGAACTGCACATTGATTGTTCTCTCAGAGCTACAGATGTCAGCTGGAAATAGTCAGGTGCCAATGCAATCTCTGCTATTCCTTTGTTGTCTTTGTAGTGGCTTTGTCAGCAGCCTTGCAATCATCACATTTTACCAACACAGTGAATCTTTAGTCCGTGCCATTTTTGTGAAATACTTGTATGAGAAACTATTAGGATTAGTCGTATAGGACAAGAACAACATGCAGCCTCTTATTAGAGCTCAAAGTAATGAAGAAGGGAAAAATACTAATATGTGATCAATCAAAACTTCTTAAGCGAGTTATAGCATGCCACTGCTTTATAAAGGAGACAAAATGGTTATGTATGTAAGCAAATATTTAAGAAATAAAACATCTGTCTGTATTTAGCAGGTTTTGTAGGAGGGATAAAAATAGAAAATAAAAAAGGTACTGTTCCAATGCCTTTTCTTAGTAATCTGAGCATGAAACAAAGCCAAACAGGTCCAAAAGAGTATTTTGACAGTTGCTTTTTATTATGATGTACTTGACACTAAGCCCAAAATTTGCAGTGTCTTTAAACATTGGGTATGAGATCCTGCAAATAATGCAAGTTCAAGTACAGATCCTTTAATATGATGCCGGATCCCCTCCACGAATCACCACCTTAAGGTGTTGGAGGCGTTTGTGTGTGCTAATGATCCAATGAGCTATGTTGTTGGAGGTAATTTCCCCTGGTGGGGTCTCTTATGCCAAATAAATCGTAGGTGAACAGCCAGACTATGGACTATCCAAGAAACACTTACAAACCAAGGAACCAGAAACTTCACGAGGAACAGGAATACCTGGCCCCATCTTGTAGCCAAGCCTGGGATGGGGGCCTCGTTGGCAAGCACCTGGTGGTTGGGCCTTCACCCATGGGGACTGGCCAGGCACAATCTGAATGAGACACATGGGACTGTTCTCCTCTGGAACACCAACTGCAGGAGGAGCTACTGTATATGGATTTGGTGTATTGTGGATTGGGTGGCAATTGAAGGCATGGTACCAAACTCCTGGGGTGGGGCTGGACTCAATTGTACTTAGTTGCCCTAGGTGAAAGGCATTATGCAGTTATGGGTTTACTCATAGGGCCCCAGTTTGGCACTTGTACATTGGAGTTCAGCCCAGTAAATGACAGTGTTGCTTCCCTTCAACTTTAAGTCAGGGGACAGACTCTGACTCTTGTCTGTGATTATGAACCAAACACAGTGGTGGAATGTAACAAAGTATTTGTACTTCGTTACTGTACTTAAGTACATTTTTACGTATCTGTACTTTACTTAAGTAAAAATAATAATGCATACTTTTTATTTTACTCCATTACATTTTGCGGCAATTATCTGTACTTTCTACTCCACTACATTTCTACAATTTATGCCGTTAGTCGTTACATTTTATGAACACAATTTCCTCAAAATCTTGCATGAAAAAATAGCCTATTGCGTTCTGCCGTTGTTTGCCATTTCCTACCAATCAGGTGACTTAATTAGTTCCAATGATGGCAGAGCGCGCGTCAATTGGCAGCACGAGCTGGTAGACTGGCTTGATTTCAAGAAGACGAGACATTCAACATGGCGCCACCCCACGACTAGTGTTTGGTTACTGTTGTGTTTACCTTTTACTGCTCTTAACAGATGTGTTGAATAGTTTTGCAAGTACATAAATGATTTAAAGATATATCATGTCCTGATTGGTTTATCTTAATGGTATATTAGTGGGTAATACCTAGTAGATAACTTGTCATCCACATAATTCTAAGTTAGGGTACACACAGTATTACAGAGTGCACGCACAATAAGCACACAAAACCTTACAATACACATATACTGTATAGTTGCTTGTAATTATTACGAGCAATGACATCGGTAGAGGCGTAAGTCAGTATATCTACTATTCTTTTACAAAATGGCACACCCCAGACGTTGAGACAAACCATTGTGTGAGTACTTTTACTTAAAAAAATACTTTAAAGTAAATTTAAAAGTAAGTACTTAGTACTTTCACTTAAGTAAGATTGTTGATGTAGCACTTCTACTTTTACTTGAGTACATATTTTGCGGGATACTTGTACTTTTACTTAAGTACTAAGCTTCAGTACTTCCTCCACCACTGACCAAACATCAGTTCAGAGTATCCAGCCTTCCTGGAGATCTTGGGAGAGGTGCTGGAATTCGCCCCCTCTGGGGATTCCATTGTTCTACTGGGGGACTTTAACAATCACAAGGGTAACAACAGTGAAACCTGGAAGGACGTGATTGGGTGGAATGGCCTGCCTGATCTAAACCCAATGAGTGCTCTATTATTGGACGACAGTTTATCTTAAGCATGAGGGTGTTTTTAAGTGCATCTGGCACCAGAATACCCTAGGCCACAGCACGGTGATTAATTTTGTATATTGGATCTGCGATTATGTCTTGGACATTCCGGTGAAAAGAGGAGCTGAGCTGCCAACTGATCACCACCTGGTGATGAGTTAAATCTGATGGTGGGTGAAAATGCCACACGTACCTGGTAGACCCAAATGTACAGTAAGGGTGTGCTGGGAACATCTGGCAGAGGCCCCTGTGCAGGAGACCGTTGACTCACACCTCTTGTATTCTGAATTAAACTGGAGATGTTGAGTCCGAATGGGCCATGTTCCGTGTTTCCATTGCTGAGGCGGCTGTGCAGAGCTATGTCTGTAAAGTTGTTGGTGTCTGTTGCACTGGCAACACCTAAACCAGGTGGTGGACACCAGTGGTAAAGGGAGCTCTCAGGCTGATGAAGGAGGTCTTCCAAACTTGGTTAACTTGTGAGACTCCTGAAGCAGTTAACAGGTACTGGCAGGCTAAGCAGAATGTGATCTTGTCAGTTGTGGAAGAAAAAGCTTGGGTGTGGGAAGAGTTTGCTGATGCCATGGTAAATTATTTTTGGTCAGCCTCAAAAAGATTCTGGAAAATTGTCAGATGACTCAGGCCGGGGAAACAGGGCTCTGCACATGCTGTTTACAGCAGGGATGGATTGCTGTTGACCTTAACTCAGGATATACTCAGGCAGTGAAAGTAGTACTGGATCCCCAGAATCCCACTGACACGGCATTCTTGGATGAAGTGGAGTTGGAGGACTCAGGAGAGGACTTGCCCATTGCTAGGACTGAGGTCACTGAGGTAGTAAAGCTCCAGGGTGGATAAGATTTATCCTGTGTTCCTTCTTGGAAGCTATTGATGTTGTTGGACTGTCTTGGCTGACACAGAATTTCAATATTGTTTGGAGGTCAGGGATAGGGCTTCTGGATTGGCAGACTGAAGTGGTACCTGGTTGCTTCATGGGCCAACCAGTCTACATGAGTTTTGTAGACTTGGAAAAGCATAGAATCGTGTCTCTTTGGGGGTTCTGTGAGGGGAACTCCAGGAGTATAGGGTACCAGGTCTGCAGCTACAGGTCATTAGGTCCTGCATAACCAAAGCAAGAGTTTGGTTTGCATTGGTGGCAATATGTCAGACTTGTTCCCGGTGGCTGTGGGACTACTTCAGGGCTGCCAAATTCTGTTCAAAATTTTTATGGATAGAATTTCTTGGCACAGCCAAGGGGTGGAGGGTGTCCTGTTCGGTGACCTTAGGTTTACATCTTTGTTTTTTGTGGATGGTGTTGTCCAGTTTGCTTCATTGAACTATCACCTCCAGTGCGTACTAAGGCGGTTTGCAGTCCAATGTTAAGCAGTCAGGATGAGGATCAGCCCCTCCAACCTGGACCCAGATAAGCAGCTGGATTATGAAAAAGTAGGAGGATGATAGGGAAAGGGAGGGTTTTGGTTTGGTTTCTATTGTGTTACCTTTCAGATTGTTCTTCCATGCCTATGTGAATTTAGGAATAATTTACATTCAAATTATAGGGCATTTTGCTATTCTTCAGGGTATGCACAAGATGATGCTAACATAATTTTGGTACAGTAGGCTTATTGGAAATGTTCAGTGGGCATTCAGTGAGTTACTGGGGAGAATGGCATGCAAATGTTACCTACAATACCCTACAGCACTCACAATACACAGTTTCAAACCTAATGTGCTTTAGAGGAATTTAACTCTGAAAGAAAAATTGGATTAAAGGCATGGTACATTAGATCACTGCTGTTTGAAATGCATCCATGGCATTCAGAAGTTTCATGACTCTAGATTTTTCTGTGTGTATAAATGCTTCATAGCAAGCAGATTTTTTCCTGTTCTTTTCCATTTGCTGCTGTTCATCTACTGGGACCAAATGTCTAAAAGCTTGTTATATCCTCTTGAGACCCAAGGAAAAAAGTGTTAGGTTATTTGTCTTGGAGGAAATAAGACATCTTACAATTTAGATTTTTTCAAATTTATTTTTATTTTTTAATTTCACAGCATGTCCTCTTTAGTGTACAACCGGAATAAATACGTTTCCTAACATCAGTGAAAATATAGATGCAAAAATAAAATGTCCACTACAATGGACATAAATGAATGGGTGGCGTCTCAGGAAGATATGAACAGTTGTTAAGTATCTGATCAGTTCTGTTAAGAGCTTGGGATGTCACAGTAGACACTGCTTTCGCTTCATAGCTGCAGGTCAAAGTCCATGTTGTGCCCTCGGTAACCTACACTGTGAGCACCCCCTGTCCCCACAGCACCCAACACCACCACCCCCAACGGCACCCAATTTCACTTTTTCTTGGACGACTCAGTTGCTGTACATGCTCCTTGCGCAGGGATTCTATGTTTCCCCCGTGTTCTGTGTATTTCCTCCTGCAGTTCAAACACATGCATTTTGTTTGAATATTGTTTCTAAATTGCCCATGGTGCAATGTTGTTTGTACCTTTTGGTGGACTGGCATCCGATCCAGGGTGGATCCCTGCCTTGTGTCCAATGCTATTTGGTATAGGTTCCTGGGCATTCCAAATTCTTTTCCCAAACACAGTTACAGGGAGCCTGTAACTTATCCTAAGGAGCACTGGATACAAGATAGTGGTACTCGTACACTCTGGATGTCAGGCCATCACAGACCACATAAACTGCAGGCAATTTTTAAGGGACACTACTCAGTCTAGATCAGTGTCTCTCAACTGGTATGTGGCTGAACCATGAACCATTTTGTCATGCCACTCTCAGGTATTTAACAGCTTTTACCATTGTAGGCCCCTCAGCTAACAGCTTCTTTGGGTCTTGACTTAAAGGTGACCTATTATGTTAATTTCCACTGTTCATAATTTTTCTACTAGAAGAGAATTACATGCTTTAATGTTTCAAAAACACATTACTTTTCTCATTCTGCACATTTCTAATGATTGCACCCTCTGTATCTGTACCCTCTGTATATAATACTCTGTTAGAGCTTTAAGTCGCACCCCCATTGAGCCTAGTGTGCTCTGATTGGTCAGCTTGCTCTCCGTGTTCCGCCCCTGTCTTGCAGTCTGCAGACAGATCCTTGCAGGCAGGCGGCCAACAAGGATTGTGTTACGAGGTGACCTCACCATGTCACAGAAGTAACTGCTGAAATTCCAATGAGGCATTTCAGGCAGATGAGACAGAAGTGGTTTCTGTGGTGAGAGTTACTCCCTTTGGCATATACTGTAGGCCTACTTTGGTCGTTAAAACTTTACAGACACTTTACATTCACATAACGCTTTAAAACACACTAAAGGAAAGGGAAAAACTGGAAAAGAATAATAGGTCCTCTTTAATGACCAAGGAAAAATTTTACCTGCACAACATGGGGATAAAAAGCAGGAGTGGAACCCTGGAGATGTGAGGCTACACTCTAAGCTACCTTGCTGCCTGTTTTTTATTTTTGTTTTTAAAATTAATTTTGTGTATGTTCTAATTGAATGTTTTGATTTGATTTGTAATGTGACCCTTTTGACAGGCATATTATTTTCCTAAAGGCAGGAAATTGTATTTCTGATTTGGCATATCATTTTAATTTTAAGTGAATTAAGTTATTACCTTACATACATACATATTGTGTTGGATAAAGAGGTTTAGGAGATGGAGGTGCAGGAAAGTACCCCTTGAAGGCCAAGTTTTATTAAGGGGAACCATGGAAAAAATATACAAAAGGGAGTCAGTCTGCAGGCAGCAATCCCTTCAGGGTGGCCCTAGCTCAGGATTTACTTGCGGAGAGTCTGCTCACTCAGCTGGCTTGCTGTTTCCTTCTCCGACTACCTTCTTCCTCGTAAGTGCTTTAGACCTTGCATGTGAAGGATGTCTCCCCACTTGGTTGGGGCAATTACCAGCTGCCAGCTGTGCCCTGTTGGCACTCCTTGTGGCTGACTCTGGGGAAACCATGGTTACCCACAGCATGCGTTGTGCTGATTGCCCCCTGCTGGATTCCAGGTGGTTGAATTGCAATACATATATTCAGGGCCGGAAAAATCACTCAATGGTTTGCATAGACTCTATAGTTGTGTTATATAGAAAGCATTTACTTCTTGTTTTTAGTGTTTAGATAAAAGGAAAGCTTTTACTGCCTTTGTTTTGACCTTACCAAGTCCTGTTTTATTGGCTTGACTGTGATGTGTCATGACATGTTATGGCAATGGTAACATTTCTTGTTTTGGTTTCCAGGTTAACAGTTACATACATACACCGCTAGAATCATGGATTGTTGGACTGTGGTTTTTTTTTTTTTAGCCAAAACACCGACAATTTCTAACCACAATTTTAATAAGTTGTTCCATACTGGTAAAAAAACACATGTAAGGATGCTTCATATGTTTATAAACATCTGTATGAATAATTGCTTGGCCAGCTAAAACTGAAATGTCCCTTACTATTGCCGCAAGTGAAAAAAAAAATGCAAATTGTTGTTCTAATGCTTAGGTGTCTAGAAACTTTAAGGTTCTTGAATAATAGAGGGCTGCTTTTGTATGTTAAGCTGACAATTGTATGGGTTCTTGTGGATCTCTTGGTAAATATGGTGTGTAAAGAGAAGCCACTACACAATCTTAGTCTAGCAAATTGCGCTTCTGCAACATACTAGTCATATGTGTACTGCTTAATAGGTAGGTGGAGAGAGAAAGAAATTAAAGGATGACGTCAGAGAATGGCAGTCTAGAGTTGTATTAGTTGGACGGGCAGCCAGATTGCAGGAGTTTAGATACTGCTCTGCGAAGAGTTCACGTTAACAGTTTGCTAAAGAAAAGTACTGACCGCTTTTGGAATTAAATATTTATTCTCAGTTATTACACAAGGGTTGCAGCCACGGTCAAATTTATTTTACTTTTATTAAAAACATAACTTGAAATATGTCGTTGAATTTTCAGTAAAGAAGGACAGAGTGGTTAAACTTTTGGCATTTTTTTTTTTTTTGAGGTGGGAGAAATATATTCATTACATATTCATCAGAATATATTTTTCTTTGTTCCACAACTAGAAAAACTTGACTCGTGATGAATCTCCTGTCACAGTGCTTATTTGTAGTTGTAGGATTTACAGTCACTCTGACTTCAGCTAACAAAGTAAGTAAACTATTCCTTCGTTCTGTACATATCATGTATATAGTCAGTATATCAAACCAGTTAGCGTTTTACTTACTTGAATTGCACAATGCTTTTGATTTTAGAACAGTATGGCGTGCTTCAGGTAATTTGTGCCTCCCAGTCTACGATTTATTCCAGACTAATTATTTGTTTCTTTAAAGATCCGTTTTTACTTAGTGGTCTTTAATTTTAATTTTTGTTTTTAAACATATATTTTTAATGAATTAATGCATATGTTTCCGTCCCAGACACAGCGTAGGGTATGTAACGAATACGATTTTTTGGGCGAAATTTAGTGTATTGAATCTTCTCCGGTAATGCTTCAGTAAATTTTTTTGTTGAAAGTATGGAAGTCCAGGAAATACTGCGGAATGGTCAAATTAAGTAATTCTGTGCATTTAAACTCTCTTACTTGAATAAGAATCCATGAACATATTATGTGTTGTTTGATATGTAAATCGAGTCAATGTATATTTCACACCTGAAACCGAAAGAAGAGTTTCTGCTAGTTCTGTAACTGCAGAGGCATTACAAGTTCAGTCTGCTCACTAAGCGAATGTTTGCTCAGTTATGTACTGTACCACTTTTAAAAGGATTGTCTGTAATATCATTTGTTTACCAATTTGGCTTCATTTAAAGCGTGTATTCTTTGTTTTTCTAGGCTAGTGGTGTGGAAAAGAAAGGTAAGCGTTTTCATGACTATGAAATTCCCATATTTATACAGCATCTTAAGCATAAGCTTAAAACTTTGCTGGCTGTATGTCTTTAGTTCTATCATTTTATACAATTAAAGAAAAGCTACACATAAGTTGCGAGTATTGTTATTATTGTTCTATATGGTATGTTTTAACAGCACTGTATCCTATCCAAGGCAGTTACTAAATCTAGGGTTACAATGCATGGGCTTGAAGATATGGATGCGTAATTCAGTCCAATTTTGACAATTTACCCTTGTCTACGATAGTAAATTATGTCTAAAAGCAAAAATAATTGCTAAAAAAGTCAACTAGTGTGCAATGATCATTCTGTGTTTATCTGAGATGAATCACAAAAATTTTCCATTTCTTTTTTATTTTATTTATTTATTTTTTGTTATTTATTGAATGGTTTTTGGGTTGCATTAAAGCATCCACTTATTTGACAACAAATAAAACTAAACTAATACTTGTTGGAAAATTACTTCAAAATAAACTGCTTTAAGGTTCAACTGCAAAGGTTCTCCAGTCAAGTTAAAATAAAGTATATTCCCATTGGATATAAGGATTTTAGAGCATTTCTGATTCATGTATTTGTTTATACCACTTTGTTCTGATCAAGATGTTGCAATGAAATGACCCGTGGTGTTTCTTACTCTGTGTGCATGTTTTCTCCAGAATATTTGAAGAACAGACTGAAAGAATACGGCCTTATTACTCCAATCAGCACAGATTCAGAGGGACGCTACCTGTCATGTCTACTCTCAGCAAACCATAAACAACGGATCAGGAGAGATGTATCCCAAGGCTTTCAGGCGAGAAATTACAACCTTTTTTTCAACATAACTGCATTTGGAAGAGCGCTTCACCTTCGGCTGCGCCCAAACGAAAGGTTGGTGGCCCCGGGTGCGAAGGTGGAGTGGCGTGATGAGGTGGCCAACTCTGAGAATGACACCAATACTGAAATTCAGAATCAGTCCAGCATCCGGATTGAGAGGATACTGAAGAGAGAACTTCTGAAAACAGACTGTACATTTGTTGGTGACATCACTGATGTTCCAGGAGCTTCTGTTGCCATTAACAACTGTGATGGCCTGGTAGGTCTTCAGTGCACTAGTAGCTCATTTAGTATGAATGTGGAATTGTTCAGTCTTCATAATGAAAATGGAATTGATTATAGTTGTATTTTTGGTTTATTTAAAACGCATACTTTAGTATATGCATGTGTCTAACACAGCAAAAGATACATCATTGTGGGTCGTATTAGGAATATGTCTAATATTTATTGTAATTTGTTTTACCTTTTAAGATACAAAGGACTTCATAAAAATATTTACCTCGACAATAATGACTTACTGTAGCTGTAAGAGTAAAAATCCTTATGGTAATTCATATAAACGGATATCAGTCAATATCTGAATATTTAATGATGTCTCAGCAGCAACATTCACTTATATTAAAGATATATTAATTTCCTCAAGATGACTCACACAGTTGCCATTGTCACAGAGACAAGAAACTCCTAGGTGAAGATCCAGTTTGGAGTTCTATGAACTATGAGCTATGAAAGGCTAATTGCTAATCTACTCTCAGTCAACAGCCAGGCATGTAGAATAACTGGACACTGGGGAAACTCCAGCGATATAAAACAAGAATACAAGTGTGACAGCTGTGAGGCTATACAATAGTGGATGTTTTAAATGGTTAGTATCAATTTATCAGCACATATGGCAAGAGCCTGAACTTAAAATGGTGATCAGTGATATTTACTTTCAGTGATGGAAATTTTGTAATCAGCAGTCTATGTTTGTTGAAAGAACATTTGAATTATTAGGATATATACATCTTTTTGGGCTGTGTTTAATCAATAAATGACAAACAAAATGTCAAATTGTTAAGGTTTATTTGAAAAATTTGGTAAAACTATGAGACATCATACATTTGCTCTCCATATTACAGTGAGTGGGTAGCTTATCTGAAAGAAATAAAGTACACAAGGCAAGGGACAGCAATGGGATGCCGATTCCTTCTAAGACAAAAATAAATAAATAAATCACAACAAAAGAACAAAAAATCTGTAACCGACTTTCAAAAGAGGAATAACTAATCGTGACAATACAAGCTGTGTGTGCACACAACAGGTGGATTAACATCCGGGGGGGGCCCTAGGCTGACATTGGAAAGGGTCTCCCCAAGTAGGCCACTTAAGCAATCAATTTATTTATTTCTTTATTTATTTGGGGGGGGGGGGGTTGATCTCCCATCGCCAGGTAAGATTAACATTTCATTTTCCACAGGGTGTGAGGAGCCCCAGGTTTTGGTGACTATGATAAGGTGTTCCCTGAATATTCAGTGCTGACAAGAATATAGTCAATGACTATGAATATAGTCAACAGATGAGATGGACTGCATGGAAGTGATCTTAGATGAGATCATAGATCAGAACAGAATTGAGAAATTCGGGATGCTAAACTAGACAATGAACCATAGATCAACCATTCCAGAGGTCAAACCAGAAGAGACAGAAACAATCCAAATCACTATATTAAGTAGAACTACTATAAGAACCCAAGAAACCAGGCATCCAGACCAGCTGAACCAAAACTGAGTAAAGTGTTTAAAGGAGACAGCTTAAAGGAGACAGCTTAAAGCTCAAAAACTGAAAACAGGTATGTTGTAGAGCGGCTTTAGTGCCATCTATCTCTCTAGGTTGTTCTGTTGGGACATACCGGCCATAGAAATGTCAGTCTTCTCTCGAACATACTGTAATCAAATATAATTGCATAATTGAACAGAATAAACGGCATTATCTTCTGCGCAGTGATACAATTGGTGTTCCTACATTAAACTGCTCACTACTAAATCTGAGGATTATCTTGAGTAACCAGACCATGAATTCTGGCAAGAGACATTGTTGTTGAATTTTTCAAATGTATTTTTTTGGCACTTTAATTACCACAGAAAGAATGTTATTCAGTCTCATTATATTTGAGATTTCGTATTTTTTTTTTGCTTTGAGGTGAACTGCCCCTTTGAGTAATTTGATGCATTGACTGTAGGTGTCACTGATTTCAAATTCATCTTGCTGTTGGAATAGGTATGAGCCTCGACTTGTAAACTGTATTCTAGCCCAGATGTGTCCCTAGATCATTGGCCAGCGCACCGACCATGAACTTCTAGTAGCCCACAGGATGCCTATAATTACCTCACATAACATTATTAGAAATTGGATTGGTTTTACCATCACCTCCCATTAAGGCTAATAGGGTATATATTGCTTTGATTCGTTACCCAATTCGTAAGATATAATGTGTATGTTGATTTGTGCAGCCCTGTGTATGCGTGTTATGTTTTCTTACATCTAACTCTCCCATAAATGGAGCGAAATTCTCTGCCAAATCCTGTTCCCACCTTTCTGTGTTTGTATCAATCTTCTCCAGTAGATAGCAAATAGAGGCATGTGGCATGTGGATGGGACGATGGACTGGTATTTTTCAGTTAATTTTAGTTCCCTCAACAAATTGAGGCTATTTATAAGGGGTCTAATTAGATTAGAGGTAGGCTTGCATGATGTGTGATGTTAATATTGGCATTGCAGTTATCGCATCACGAAGACCATGATAGCTGGGTTGAGATGAGGCTTGCATGATATCTAATATTCCTTACCATCATACAGGGCTGGGTGATATGGCAAAATATTTTATCGCGATAATTTTTCCAATCTTGGTCAATAATTATTGCAATATGATTCATACATTGCAATTTTTAATAATAATTCATAATTTCTTCACTTTGAGGCTCCGTTTATACTTAAAAGCCCCTTTGGATTCCCCTCGAACAGATTTCCCTTCAACAGAGCATGAAAAGAATGACAAATTGATTGGACTGCAATCTGAAAGCTAATTTAAATCATCCAATTTTTATATATATATAAAAAATATATATATACATAAAATGGTATGATTTAAATTAGCTTTCAGATTGCAGTTTGCAAATTTTTTTTTATATATATATATATATATATATATATATATACATTTTTTTTGTAGGGCATAGTATAAGTAATAATATGCTTCGTCCCATTTTGAACTAATACGGGGCACGTCTGGAAGTTGTGTCTGTAATTGTAAGCACTAGCATTCTGCATGTGCAATGGATGGCAATGCATCGAGTGGTGAAATAAATGATTTCCAGTTTAACTTTTTATGTTAAACTGTTGTATGTTGTAGGCTTCTTTAAATTGCCACATCACCAACGTCTTTTTACCTGGTTTGTCCACAATATCTTCTTTTTAAATACTGTAGATGTTGTGGCTGCTGCACTTCCTTTATCGACATATGAGGAAGTTTCCTCTGAGGGTCTGCTTTTTTCTCCATGACTCACATGTATTATCAGAATATTAGTATGTGAGTTTCTCTGCTAATTCAATAAAACGTGCTGTGTGTTTGTTGTGCTAGGCTGTCCATTCTCAAAACACTGTGATTGGCAGCAGATCAAGTTATTTTTGTCTGAGCTGACAAAATACCACCACTCACATTCTTACTAGCGTTTCTGAATTCCCTGTGGATTATTACTCTGTGGACTGAATTTTGCTGTGGAGTTTCATTTCGGTTTTTGCTGGATTACTCTTATTGATTGGGTTGCTTTGAACTTATTTGCTCTCCTGGTGAGTTGCCCTGTTGTTTTGACTATATTGTCTGTTGTCTGCCTGCCTGCTCTGTTGCATTCTCTGCTTTGTTCAGTAACTCTTCCTTTTGTGTTGCTTCGGCTGTGTCTGCACTTGTGCACCATTGCTGGCCCCGACAAGCAGTCACAGAGGAAGTGATGTCATTAAATTGGGTCTTAAATTATATTGAACTTTTATCAAATTTTTGGCGCATTGATATAGAGGAAAATTATATTTCAATAATTACCCTTATTGTTTTATCGCCCAGCTTTACTGTCATACCATCTGGACATTATACCACTGTATGTGGTATTTTGAGAGTGTTTTCAATGGCAACACAGTTCTGGTATTTTGAAATTTTGGAAAGGGTAGTGGGGTGTCCCTCATGCAAAAATTCACCAATGGGAGATCATCAATATGTTTTGCTAAAACATTTTTACATTTACATATTTCACAGACATTTTTGTCCCAACCAAATGTAGAAGTGACGCAAATAGCACACTGCAAACAAACCTGTTGTAAAGGAGTGAACTAGGCATAATTGCCACTAGGCTGAGCTTCCATTGAATGCCCAGGTACAGGTGTGAGCAGTATTGGAGCAGGAACTATACAATAACTTTTAACTTTGATGATGTTATCTATTTGCACAATATTCCATGGAACGCCGAAATTTAAAGTGTTTAGCAATTATTCAATGAATCGTCTCAGCGTGGCACTTAATTTCTCACCTGTTGCTTCCAGGCTGCGTCGCATGCATGACGTCACAGGTGATTTTAAACTCATTGGGCAGTAATGACTAATTTATCTTTTTCTCCTGCTCCCTTTTGCCAAGTGAATTCCAATAGCATCTTTATTTGCTTATGTTTTTTTTACACACATCTTATTCTCAAATAAAGTTTGACTGAACAATCATTAACCCTTAGTTCCTGGCAGATATTGATGGAGAGAGTGCTGATGATCCAAAATGAATAGCAATGTCATGATGGATTGTAAGGCTGGCAGAGAAGACGAGAAACTCAGACAAGGACATTTTAGGCTGGAGGTGATGGTCCCCCATCAGAGCTGCAATGTCAGCCAGCCATGCAGAATTTCACGTGGAGATCACTGTGTTTTCAGGAGAGAGATATATTTGGGTGTCATTGATATAGTAGTGGTAAGAAAAGCCATGCGACTGGATGATCTGACCTAGAGGGGTAAAGAGAAAAGAAGAGAGGGCCATGGACAGAGCCTTGGGGAACACCAGTTGTTACCTGATGTGATTTGGACACCTCTGTTCCCCAAACATTTTGACTGATCTGTCTGATAGGTATGAGCCAAACCAGTACAGAGCAGTCCCCATGACGCAAAGTTGAGAAATGATGCCCAGGAGGATTTAGTGATTAAATTTGTTGAAGGCTGCAAAGAGGTCTAACTGGATCTGGGAAGATAACT